CCTTCCTTCCTTCCTTTCTTTCCTTTTCGTTTTTTTTGTATTAATTAAGTTATATTTCTAAAATATTAATTTCAAAAATGTTATGAATGAAATGTAGATTCACTGAAGAAAAATGTTTTAAAGGTGGAGTGAAAATCTGTTCTTAGCTTGCAACTGAAATAATTGTTTTAAAAAATATAAGAACAATATATCCACAAAAACGCTGTGAAAAGGAAAAAAAAGGACAGAAAACTATAGCGGAGAAAAAGTTATAAACAAAAAAACATGTGCAGGTGTTATCCTTCTGGTCAGGATTTAAAAAATTGAAATTAAAATTCAAAGTTAAAGTCCTTGAAGCTCTATAGGGAGTGAATTGATCAAATCAAATGAAATTTTTCCGCTTTACAAGTCTGATCGCCAATGGTTTTTTGTTTAATTTTATTATACATTTTTTGAACTATTGTTTTTTTATTTTTATTTTTTCAAATATAAAGACAATGGTTTATAAAGATTATGCATGTTTTATAACGATTACGGTTTATAAAGATTATGGTCCGCGTATAAATGTTCTCTGACTTCTCCCTGCTGAATGCATTTAATTCGATTCAAAATATTTTTCGGGTTTTTTAATTTAGCTATTAATTCCTGGTCCATTTTAGGCAGATCAACGTCACCGGTTTGAATTTGAAACATGCTTCCTTCTTAGCCATTAATGTTTATGCATTATAAGCTAAGTAAATAACTAGCTTCATCCACTTTTAAACAAATAGCAAGTGCCAACTTAAGTCGTACAAATATCCCGTAGTTTGAACTTGGTATCACATATGATGCTTCAAAAACAAGTTGGATGCCAGCTTCGAAATTTTATGCTTTTAAACAAGTAAATTGTCATGACAGCCGGTGCTTTTTGAAGGACTAAATGAACGTTCCATCTCGTTTCTCTTTTTGGCGCTCTTTTTTTTCCGACAACTTTTTTAATAAGTCTGGGTTGTCAGCTGAATTATTGCAGGCGTCTACGAGCACACTGTCTTGAATCAACACCTCAAAAGAGTCTGCCGTGACTAGTGCCCTACTTTTCGAGGTATTGACTGACTGATGCAATCAAATCGTTGCTGAAATTTCACAAGTCTTTCGCTGCTTGGTTATTTTTGGATTAAGACAAACATTCGTTATCTTTATAGCTTATTCTTTTGTGTTTGACCACAATAAAAGCCTAACGAATTCAATACAAACGGACCAGGTTCATCTCAAGAACTCTCGAAATAAATAGAAAATTGGAAAAAATAAACTTAACCACTGTGCCATTAATTTTTCACAACATGTCAATTTACGTTCGCCCACAGCAAAAGACAAAATGATCACTTTGAATAACTCCGTATTCAGCCTATTTAATAAATTGCGTTGACTGGTTTTTGATTAGTTCATCTATAGCTTCTTCAGTGGGCACTCTCAGTGATGACCAAACACAGAGTTCACATCCTAGAGAATATCGGCTTGGAAAGCCTCGTCCACTAAATTCGAGATTCTGTAATTCATATTGACTTACAAGACATTTTTTAGAAATGAAAAACAAATAATATCATTCGTTATCAAACTAAAAGCAATATTCGTAACACCTTTCATTTCTATATTGGTGTGACTTGCAAATGGAAAAACAAATTTGAGGTTTACAAGTGAGATTCTTTATCCGGAACTATCGCGATATCGGGAGCCCCAGTCTTCAAACACCGTAACTCTTTGGTATGAGAGAAATTGCATCTCATGAATACAACCGCAAACTCTAGTTATCTAAGTCGTAACTTTTCTGGCAGCGACGAGGAGTGCTTTTTCCTTCCAGATGCAGAGTTCGAGAAGATATATTTGCGATACAAGAGTAATCTTATTACTGCCATAATAAACGCTGTCTTTGCTCCGGTTGCCGTTGCAGCTAACCTCGTAGTGGCCTTTGTGATTTTTAGATCGCCACATTTGCGACGTCCATCGACTTTTCTTCTGGGATGCCTTGCTATCTGCGATTTGTTAGTTGGTCTTCTGGAACAGCCATCTTATGTAGCGTTCAGGTTGCTAGAAAATCACATCAATTATGTTCCATGTAGCATCAGAATGCTCTATTCCACTGGGTTTTACATCTGTTATGGGGTATCTTTTATGACTCTAAGTGCTATTAGTTGTGAGAGATTCGTAGCTTTGGCCTTGCATCTTCGTTATCAGGAGCTAGTGACCACTAGACGAGTGTTTCGCATTGTTATTCTGATATGGTCAACAGACATCGTTCTAACGGCGCTTCAGTGGGCTGGTATCAATACTGTAATAAGAGCAATACACTTGGTTTTATGGTGTACTTGTCTCGTATCGTCAGGCTTCATACACTACAGAATTGCGAGGATCGTAAGGCGTCATCAGAAACTCATCAAAATGCAGCAACAAACTACATCAAGTCGGTACAAACGACAAACCAAACTAGCAATGAATATCGCCTACATCGTTGGAATATACTTTTTCTTCAACATTCCCGTCTTGTTTGTGACAATATACCATCAGATAGCAAGTGGTAGCTTAAGTACTTATGACTTCTATAGCTGGACAGAAACTATAGCTTTTTGCAACTCTGCCATCAACCCTTTCGTATGCATTTGGCGTAGTCGAGAAATACGTAAAGCAGTTGGGGTATTCTTAAAGAAAGGATTCTGCTCAGATGATTTACGTTTGGAAGATCATGACTCTACATCAGTAAACAAGGGAAAGGGGACAGGGATTGCAGTGAAATATAACTGTGACAAAAAGAAAAATGAGGAAACGCCAAATGTGCAGTGTCGGGATAATCCGGTCTGCATAGCAGAATCGACCGAACGCATCTAATACTCCAGCTTCGAGTTCTCTTTGCTCAGCCTTAGTCTTGGTTGTGCGTTATAACATTCATCTATTCAACCAAAACCTGTAGTACTTCAGTTTATAATAATCAACTCTTATTGTTCCTTAGTTTTTGCATTCCTTACTATACGATAGAACGCATTTGTACACAATCGAGGCTAAGTCGACACTGAGCAAAGGCAAACTCGAAATGGAAGCAATATACCATCAGATAGCAAGTGGTAGCTTAAGTACTTATGACTTCTATAGCAGGACAGAAACTATAGCTTTTTGCACATCTGCAACGAAAGCCAAAATTTGGTTTCTCAGGCGCCTTCCACACTATGCCGGATAAATTTGAATCCGAATTTTCACATAGAAACCGAAAAAAAAGTTTTCCGTCCACACTAATACGGCTAGCCGGCGTTTTCAAATTGTTCCACTCCAGAGACCGTATTCGAAAAAAATCGTTAAACGAATAAATAGAAATTCGGATTGAAATTTATCCGGCATAGTGTGGACGTAGCTTCAAATCCGCTTAAGCCTTGTGCTAGCTAGAAAATCTTATTTAAGGTTTCAATATTTAATTTATAGCTAAACAAAACTTTTATTTACTTTCTAACCCTAACATGTTAGTTCTTGAATCTTTTTAGTTTTTATCTTTATTTTGTGAGTATGTTTATTTGTTTCATATATCTGGTTTCTCATAATTTATTTATCTTGTATCGAAAAACTAGCCAAAAAAAAAAAAAAAAAACCTCACTAGTTGAGATAAAATCTTTCTAAATTTATCCCATACATCAGTTATTTACTTATGTTTGTTTTAAATACATAAAAACGTGTTTCCTGTTTATTAATATAGCCCAAGTTTATTCTAATTGAATATTGTAATTGAATCCATAATGAGAAACTGAAGAAATAGGAAATTGGATTTAAGTTGAAAAACTTCATGATAAAAGATTTTTAGTTATCACACAAACATTAGTTAATATTTATTGTTATTTTTTAGCCCAATTATATTGCACTTGATTAAATCGGAGGAGCTGAAGACAATGCCATAGAAAAAATTTAGTTAACTTCATCTTTAAGGAAGAGAGTTTTTTGACACGTAGAAAGACAGCAAGACTAGCAGAGAGTTGGATACTTAGGAAGAAGTGGAAAAGAAGGAGCTAGAGCAGGAAGCTAGGAAGAAGGAGGAGGAGCTCGAGGATCGGAAAATGAATGAAAAAGGAACAAATTGTCACTCACATATAATAAAATTCTGCTAGTCATATAGCGGCTAGATGAAATCGCACAAATAATGTCCAATTTTCAAAGATAACCCATTTATATTTTCTCCTTCTGTCTGAGTAGCACTCACCTCGATATGTGGGAAAGCCATTTATCACGAATAATCAAATAGAGCGAATGATAGGCGAATGGGAAGCATGGATAAAAGCTATGTAAATATAGGTTACTTTGTATCTAAGCAGCATACTTTCATTGGCCATGACTCGAGTGATTAATGTCTTGTTAAACATTGATTTTTTTAGTTAAAACTTGGGTAAAACAGCCGGCGTTGCTAGACTATCATGAGTTTCAAAACGAATAATTTCGCGATACAACCCTCATTTTTCTCTCGCAAAGCTGTGGCACACACGTTCCAACGTGTAATAAGGCATTTAACAGAGTCAATCAAAAATTTCAAAACAAGATAAGGGTGAAAGAAAGAATGTTTTCGCTATTTCGGAACAGATAGAACCAGCTAGTTTTAATTTCGTGAATATTAATCCCTTGAGTCAAGCATTTGTTCAAGTACCTATTGTATACTGCCATACAACATCTGTCGTTTAATCAACAGAGAATATTTATTGAACCTTTTATTTTTTTCTCTTTCTTTTTCTCTATTCTTATTTTCATTCTTATTTTATTATTTTAGTTTAGTTTTAATGCCTCCAAAAATAACATTTTTGCAGTCGATATATCCATATAGAATGTTGAATATAATTGGAATTATGGTATATAAGTAGCTTTACACATTTGAAATTAATATATTTTCTTTCTGAATTTGTTTATTTTGTAACGAAATAAAAATTAAAGCAATGGATTAATTTAATATTTCTGAATTTTTATTTTAAAATATTTTTTTACATTAATATTTGCTAATACAAATATCAATAGAATAAATTTAGTATATATGAAATCGCACGATCTCGAGTACAAATTCGGAATTTATAGGTGACGCAAGGGCCGATCCAGACAAACTTTAGGGGGGG